TCGAGTCTATGTGTTTTATAAATAGTCTGGACAAACTGACCCTTACTGTTTAGTAAGTCAATTGATTGGTCATGTCCATAAAGTAAATGGCCAGTTGTGTTGAAAACCGGAGTTATTATTCCACCATATCCGAGACTTATTTGGCTTTTAAAATTTAAATCCTTATTTAAAATGTAAAAATCTCGGGATATTTCCCAGGGATATCCTTTTGTGATAACGACGTCATCATTGCTATTTTGATAAACACTCAATCGACGAAAATCTATATTGGAGATTGCAGGTAAATTCCACTGCCTTAGAAAATCTCCTTTTATACTATATTCAGTGAACAATCCAGATGATGGACTTTGAACAATATATTTACCAGAACGCATAAAGCATACATGGCCAATATCAGAAAATATTTGAGGAAGATCAAACAACTTGCGGACAACGCCGTTCTTTCCAGCAGCTATCAGTGACATCCTAGAAACAAACACAGCCTCGCCGTCCTCGTTGACTGCTATGTTACACATATTTATTCCAGCGTTATACATCTCAGGTATTTTAATTTCTTTGTCGACACCGATTTCACTGAGAAGGTATAAACTGGAGTCAGGTGGAATTTCAGAGTCAAGATCTAACCAGTATTTGAAGCCGTTTCGTGGAACCAACAGCCAACATTTGTTGTCTCTTGTCACATGCATTGAGAAGCAAGAGCTGGGTAAGGTAGACTTGAAGTTTATAGTTGTTGTTGATCTGCAATTTCTGTACGTTGATGCATTGCTCGTAGAAGTCTCGCCGTCATTATCAGTCACGCCTGTAACATGAAACAGAACAATTTGAATATTTCTCATTAATTTTTTTTAATTTATTTACCAAATAGAGAAATAAACAAACAATTAGGTTGAAATTATTGTACATACTATTACTGTTTGATGTCTTCCCCTTTTCCTGTAGTAATCTTAGCTCTTTCAATTTCAACTCTTTCAGCATACATGTATTATAATGAACAGCTGTTAGTACCTCTGCAATTTATAATAGGTTTATACTTAGTAATTTAAAGAAAAGGAAATTCTTTTTTTTTTTAATTTGGCATAGTTTAATAATCATAATATTAATACATATATTGTTTACTAATTTTTGCTTTGAAAATTAATATAAGTAAACGACTATATAGTCGTGTACCTATTTTAATTTTCAAATAAAAATCAGTAAACGACACATAACAGTACAATATGTGCGAGGGGGGTATCACAAATTTCGTGGACAAGCACCGTAAAATTAAACAGATTTAGGCATATCGATGAATTTCAAACTAGCTTGTTAACATTGTTGTGAGGTGTGTTGTATTTGTATTGTTTCATCATGTATATTATTAGTAACATTAAGTTTCTTGAACATTCCAGAGTGGTCAACATGTTCGGTCATTTTTTCTAGAACATTCTTGAACTTTGTGTATGTCCAGAACTTTCAAGTAATATCATGTACTTACAACTTCTAGAATTTTCTAGATTTATAGTACTGTATAAATACCCTGTCAATTCGCTGCATAAACAATAATTTGTCGTATAAGTAACATTGATGTACAGGTGTATAAAGAGACTGGGATATAATTACACTGGACACTGTGTGCAGCAACGGACACTCTGATGTATGTATTTTTAGATTCTTGCTAAGTTTGTACTTTATGACTTGTATATATTAATGTTAATAAATTATTGTTAAGTTTAAATTGTGTGATTGATCTTTGCTGGCATTTAGGGTTATTCTGACCCATAACAACATCATCTCTTAAAACAAGCTACAAATCATAATTAAAAAAAAAATAAGTATTTTGTTTGTAATCAATGGTATGTCAAGGCGGTGCAACCTCGAACATGTCGTTTTTTTCGTCCTGAGTGACACTGAGAAAAACTCTTTGTTATAAACATTTGAACTCCAACCCCAACCCCCCGTTAATTCAGGTATGTGATTGGGCAGTATTTTCCGTAAAAATATGCAATTTTTACCTCATTCTGTAAGATCTATGAAATTTTACCTTAAATATTGTTTGCAGTGTCCAAATATTTAAGGCAGTGAAAATGACGTCAAAAACAGGGAAGGTTTTTTCCCCAACATTCTTAAAGGTTTGTCCATAAAAAAAGTGGTATTGACCTATTTTAACTGGCTACAGAAAATATTAAATGCATCTAGAGTACTTGTTTTTAAATGCCAATATAGATTCAAATAGAAAAAGGATGCATAGTTAATGTCGATTTGTAATCAAGGTGTGAAAAGTCAATCACTTAAAAAAAGACGTTGATCATGAGTGGTATTGAACTCCAAAAATCAAAATATGTTTGCATGATCAAGCGAGGATCTCTCCCATTGTATTAATCCATTTGCAAACTTGTATGCATTGAAAACAGCTGTTTACAAAAAGGACAGGTTTAAGTCCTTACTCAGCTCCAGAGAATTTCGTCAAAATAAGTGTATTAGATATACATGTAAGAATCGGACATTGAAAAACAATGACGTTGTCAAACGTCATAAAACTTAGCGGCGACAGCGCCGAGTGATCATATAATGTCTTTTATTTGGCTTAATTAAAACTTAATTGATAAATAATGAACATATCAAGCTTAAATATTCAACATTTCTTTATTTTTAGTTGTCTCATGTTCCTTATAAATTTTGCAAGCACGGACTATATAGTACTTATTTTTTTCCCCTCAGTCAACGAACGTTTTGATTACCCATCGTATATATACAGTGTATATGGCAAAAAAAATTAAAACAGGGTTTTGAAGATCGTTCCCCCTTTTAAATTTTTTGAAGTAAGTAAATGTACAAAGTAAAGTAGGTAAATAATGAATTGGACCACCTCCCATAGAAAACGCGGACACTTGTTAGGTTGATTAGAGGAGTTAACACGTGTACATACCTGAAACTTAAGAAAGAAAGGGAAATTGGCCTCCAACGCACAAAGAAAGACAATCATCCAGTCACCAAAACACAAATTGTATATCGTGTTTGGGAAAGTTTAATTTTGGTCTTTCTTAATTTTTATTCATTTATTTTTTAAATAAATTTCTTAGTGGGTTGGAATTTTTAAACAAGGATAGATCGAACCCCCCCTCCCGAAAAAAAAATGTATCTGCACCTCCACATGGCATTCCAAGGGAGTCGACGTACCCTGTAATGATCTTATAATACTAGTTAACAGTATGATGTAAATATTAGTTATCCTAGCTAGATAGCATATAATTGAATGATTATCTTGAAACATCCTCTATAAATACATGTATGTAAATACATGCACCAAGCCCCTCAGTGTTGTACTTTGACCCAAAGAATCCCATTTCGCAAATTTAAGTATAGAACTAAGATCATCTAGAGTAATTTGAATTTACCCATGTTTTTTCAGTAGTAAAGATAATGAAGATAAAAACGTAGAAAGGATAACTTACCAGAAAGCCTGGCCTCTATATTTCTTTTGAATGTCGCAATACTTTCATCTACAATCGATTGTCTTTCCTCTACAGTTTCCAGTCTTACTAAAATATTACAGCGCAAATAATTGTAAATTTTCATGTGGAATATACCTATAACAGTGCCATGGTTCTTTTAGCAAGGGGATTGATCAGTGATGCAACAAGCAACAAAGTCCGACACATCTGTTTCATACTTGGATATTTTATTTGAAAAAGACGTAAATTGTAATCTAACAACCAAGCTGTATGATAAACGTGATGACTTTAACTTTTCTTTAGTCAACTTCCCTTCCTTATGCAGCAGTATGCTTTCATCACCTTCATACGGAGTATATATATGTCAGTTGATTCGACACGTAAGAGCATGCTCTACATATGAACAATTTCTTAAACGAGGTAAATTATTGACAAGCAAGTTGAAAAAACAAGAATATCAGCAGACTCGTTTAAAGTCATCATTTCGTAAGTTTTACGGTCGATACAATGACCTTTAAAGCAGATACAATTTATCTTTAAGTCAAATGCTGACTGACGTTTTTTTCAAACTAATTGTTAGTCCATTATTTACACACTGAATTGACAAATGATTCTTCCGTTATTACCTGATCATAACAAGGAGCACATGGCGGGTGTGATCGGTCAGCAGGGGATGCTCACTCTTCCATGGCACCTGATCCCACCTTTGGTGTTTCGGAGGTCCGTGTTTACTCTGCTCCTATTTTGTATTGTTTTATGGATTTTGATATTGAATGCTGGTCGTTATCTCCATATCCATCAAGCAACCACATGATAATAAGAGGGATAATGAGAGAGATTCCTTCATTGGTTATGAATTCTATTAATTGAACCACCATTAACACAGATTTCGAAGATGAATAAGAAAAATAAAGTTTTTTATTATAGAGAAAAGTTAATGAATGAAAATCTTGTAAAAAATTTAAAATATTTTATGAATGAAACGCAAAATATTTTATGTGGATTTCATTTAATAAAAAATAAATATTAACATTTCCGAATACAACAAATTTATTCGGATATATTATTTGTAAATAAGATTCCTTTTTAAATTTTTGACGCAAACCATATCATTTACCTTACCTCTTTTAACGTTTGCTTCCTCTGTTAATGTAAAAAGAGAAGAAATATACAAAATTATATACCTCTGTATTGTGTAGATAATTCACATATTTTATTTTTATCCTGTTTCCAATGATTTATTATGGTATTAAAAAAAAAATCATATTTACCTTCAACCAGATCAATTCTCTCTGAAATTAATGAAAAATCAAAATCCAAAATTCAAAGGAAAATCATTTTTGTTACATTTCTAAACAATAATTAATGGTCACAATTTGAATGGACTGTTATTGTTCTTACCTCGTTTAACCTTTAGTTCCCCTAAAAAGATATAAAATAGGATGTAAGTAAATAATAACAAAAATCAAAGCAAACATTTTTTAATCTTAATGCATGTGAAAGTAATAAATAAAATCTGGTTATCAACATGAACAACAACAATAAAAAAAATTAACAATAGAATTTATCATTTTATTTACCTGAACAACTCCTAATTTGGGCCACATATTCCTTTGATTTGGTCGGATTCAAATCACAGTCATATAAATGGTCTATTCCTCTTTCATATCTATCGCTACCAGTGACTTCTCTCTCAATCTCAACAACCGACCTCCTTAACTCTCTCCAGTAATCCTCAAACTCCACATCATCAACAGTACCATTGGTAGAGTGTCCAGAGATGGAATTACGTAAAATGCGGATTCTTTCTATACATGCAGCCAAAGAAAAGTCAGATGGACGAGGTTGATTTCCCCAACCAGCTATATGTGTTGGAATATTGCACAAATTGCGCAAAATTTTGTAGAGTAATGATAAATCAAGATCTCTGGATCTTATTAGCGGAACGTTACTGGTAGATGAATGTGGAGGATACACCAAGTCCTTTTCCTGTTTATTTGTTATTTTTTCCAGTTTTGATCTACTTTTGTCCAACTCTGTTCTTAGATTGGCTGGCTTTATATAATGGCTGAGAATATCTCTCATGACGTCACTGCATATTGTCACTAAGAACTGACAGAGTCGTGCAAAATTTTCTGTAGGTTTCTTTGGGTCAAAGTACAACACTGAGGGGCTAGGTGCATCTCCCATGATCTAACGTAATCTTTGATACTTCGATCTCTGAAACATACATTTACATACAATTTTATCTCTTTTCACAATTTCAACAATTCATTTTAAACTTTTAATCAGACAAAATAGAAACTATAATGAAGCCATCAATACCGGGTATTAATTTGAATATATTATATATATGAACATTTGTGGTTTAAAAAATCATTGAAAACTCGAATGTTAAGATCACTTCATATTCATGTAATCAATAATAAAACTCTTTCATAAAAATACGTTTATAGGGCCAGAATAGTCTAAACATACACATAAAGTTCTCCGAAATATGATAAGGCACGAAATACATCCCAAAATGTAGATGTTAGGATGAGAGGTGCCTAAATTGCAAATTATGGGCAAATTATATATAATGAATCTCTTACAGAATGTTCTTTTAATAGAATGTAGGTAGAAGTCTGTGAAACAAAACGATAGTCTCCCTTGATGATCGTTCAAACACATCATTTGAATTATGAAGATTTTCCCGAGTCAAGGAGATTCTAAGCTTTCAATTTTCACTTGACAACTTGGACACATGTATGTTATCTTTTCAATTGCCACATTTCATAATCAAATAATTAAATAAATTTTTAGTTTTAAGACGAAAATGCAGCTGTCAATCATGAGGCATTTAATCGTACGGGAAGAACTCATCTCTTACACGATGTTTTGAGGAAATGATGCCGATATTATCAGGATACAAAGAAAAGATATTTTATCAATAATTTAAGACCACGAAAAAAATTATGCTAGTGCGTATTTCACCTACGCCCCCCCCCCCCCCCAAAAAAAAAACGGATTCATCGCAATGTTTAATTTAATTTAGTCTATTACCAACAATAAAAACTGCAGTATGTACGGTATATTGATCAACGTAGAAAAAAATCTGAATAACAGTACTGTTATACATGTATTTTGAATTAACATAGAGAGTACTTACAATATTCAACAATTTTAGCAAATTCGGGAATTTCATACCCTCCTTGATTTCAGGAAGTTACCAAATAAAGAAAAGGAGGTTTCTACCTTCGATACACTCGACATACTCTGATTGATTTCATTTATTTGATGAAGGATACCGAAGTTCGCCGAGGTGACCCAAATACGTTAAATCGGGGATTTGTTTTCAACATAGAGGAAAGGGAAAATGCTTTGCTTTCGGTCAAGTTCTCATTTTGTGGTTCTGTTCTTCTTCATTAATGTTTTCATGTGTTTACTTCTGTTTGATGAGATACCATAGTATCAAATATACATGTACCACAAGAACTGAAGTGAATCATTTTTAGAATGAAATAAAAATGCTTGTCATAGAGAATGTGTGTATTCAATGTGTCAGTTTTGCTTCTCATTTTAGAATTCACATTACATAAGATAATGTTTTGATACAAAGCAATATATCGGTTTCAAACATTTCATCCCGATATTTCAAATATATATACATAATGTTATTATACCAACGATTTTTTTTAAAATGATAGACATCACAATAAACCTACATGTATTTAATAAACAGGAATAAAATCAAATAGTCCGAAAAAATGATTATAATGTCCTAAGCGTCAGTAGCAATTTCAAAACAAAGCTTGGTCTTCAATATTGATAAAATATACTTTTTAAAATATTTATTAAAATAACCCCTTCCAATTTTAGACAGTAGGTCTTGAGCGAATTGTAAAATCATGAATTGATCTGTCTTATTATAACTCACAAAGATTGAAACACATTTATATCTATAATTATTATTGACACATATAATTAGCAATTCTTTTTAGTATTTTATCATCGCATATTTGTATTTAAAAGTTTACTCGAGCTTCTTTGTTTATGTCATTTTTAAAAAAGTATATATTCTCCTTTCTTATGATCGGAAAAATCCATTAAAAATAAATCATATACCTAAAGCTCCAATGGACCAAACACAGAGACAAGTGCTATTAAAAAGATGGATAATAATATCATGATTATAGTCTGTCCCACCAAGTTACTGTAAGCACTTTTCGCATAATATCTCAAAATATATAAATACGGCCTTCAACCCAGTTCCGATTGATAGATCATTTTTTCCCAACCTTCCTCCATTTATCAGAACCCTCGAGGTTAACCAGTGTAAACACACGGCGGCAAATTCAAAGTCTACGGGGATTTAACGTGGTAAACTCGTCCATTAGCGTCTAGATTACGGGGCCGGGAACCAGTTTTCGAAGGGAGTAGTCGTTCTTTGCAAAGTAAATTTCAAAAAATCGTTAAAAATTAAAGGAATTAATTTAAATTGCTTTTATTGATAATTTAACTTTTACTTTGAATTAAGATAAATTTTAACAGCATTTAACCAATTTAATTATAAACTACGAGAAAATAATCCGAATCTAACGAAGTACAACTTGTGGATAATGGCTGTTGACATGATGATGCAAGCTCGCCAGGCCCAGTGTAAAGTGTTTTAAACGTAAGTTGTTTATTTATTCTATGGTATTTTTTGCAGCTGTTGTTGTTTTACTAGCTTATATACACACAAGAAAGAAGTGTCTACAAATGCTAAGAATATATATATTTCAAAACGCGTGATATTGCTGACATTAGTCTGATTAGAACAACAGTCTTGTTAGTGCTCATGGTTAACCGTTAGTGTGCTGTAACGGTCTGTAAAAATGTGTGAAAAATGTTAAGGGGTGTTTCTATGATTATAAAAGAACACGAATATGGTTAAACAATTAGGTGAAATAATTCCAAAAAGAAAATAACAGCTAGTTAACATAGTAACTAAAGTTTAAAAAATGTGTTCCTACTTTCATTTTCAATTTATATCATTTCATGTACATGCATTTGGCAAATAAATAACAAGCTAGAGATCTAAAGTGCATTTTTATTTTTTCATTTATGTGTAGTGTCAACACCCTGGGGACATCAAAACAGAGTTTTCAATAGATAACACATTTTGGAATTATTTTTCAAAACTTTTTATAATATTAAAATGTGCATGTATTTTTTTATCAAGTCTTTGGATTGAGTTCTATAATGGTCATTTATGTACATGCATGCCTATAATATTAATGAATTAATTAGCAGAACCAGGCATAAGGTAGATGAATATGTACGAACTGTTTCAGAAAATGAGAAAGTAATTATATATGTAGTATATTCATGGAAGGAAACAGAAAAAATAAATAAAAGAACATGTCTGTATAATTTGATCAGCATAAGAAGTTTAGATAGGCTGAATCATTTCATCTGAGTACAGACTTTAAAATGAAATTGATATACATGTAACATCAGAGGGAAATTTCCATTAATACTAGCTGTCATGCACATATTCAGAGTTCAAATTCTCAGTCTGGTCATCTCGAAAAAAAAAATTGATTGCCCTGTCCCAACCAACTGGCTGATAGACTCAAAACTTCTTTTTTTTAAATCTCCAGGAAGCAATTAACTTTTTTTGTATTCTGGAGAATAAATTATTTTAAAATTTATGATTACTTTTTCTGAGAATAATTTTCTCATCTACCTACCTTACCTAATCCTAAGTTGGGAGAGGGCAAGACTATTTTAAAGCTGCACATGGCCTCAACAGCATTGTTTTTTCTGTAAAGTCCTGTACTGCCCAAATGTGAACTTAATTTGAAAATTTCTATTTCCTTAATTCCTAGAGTTTTATTTAAAGTACTTGTTTTTAAAAACCGTAGGCCATTATAAATTATTTTTGTTTGATGTACTCTGACACACATTTTTCAAGATGGGTAGGTAGGTATCTTTTTTTGGGGGGCTTAATGGTATTGATCAAATTGATATCAAAGTGTCATTAAAAAATTCCAGACTCAGAAATTTATTAATATTTTCAATACACACTGGATATCTAGACAGATGAAATATTTATCATTAAAAAAAATAATCTAAAAGAGTCCACAATTTTAAAAGGAAACAGTATCCATTTTTAATAAATAAACAATTTAAAAAAAAAAAATCAGAAATTCAAAGTGCTGAAAAAATGATTGGGTTGGGACAGTTTTGATGGGTCAGTCTGAGTACATCAAAGAAATTTGTTTATATTGTTGTCCTTATTTGCTAGTACTGTATTTGGTTGACTTGATCTTTGACCTACTTTACAAAGACACCCCAGAAAATTTAAATTAACTAAAGACTTTTGAATATTCAGTGACGGGTGTTGATAATTAACATTAATTATATACATGTTTATGAGCTCATAAAACTGTTCTTTTAAACTGTATGATATTCAGTAAACCACACAAACTGATATCTTAAATATCATGAATATTATGAAAATACATTGGGATGGAATCCCACAAAGTGGATCGTGCAATGTGACAATTGCTTTGAAACATGTAACACATGTAAAATGATAAATACCGTGTAAGTGGAAATTTTAGTGAGACGCAAATTTAGCGATTTTACCTAAAAAATTGGTATTTTATTTTTAGCGAGATGTAATTTTAGCGATTTCAAAATGCCCACTAAATAAGCAATTGCAAATAGAACGCAATTAATTTTTGCGATTTTCAATTTTAGCGATCTCAGCATCCTCGCTAATAATGCCAAAATTAAATCCTCGCTAAAAATTCTGCTTATACGGTAATTATTTATGATGATTTCAACTTAAAACAGGTGATATATGTGTTTCTTGGAACACTATAGTTTATAAAGAAATTGATGTCCTGTACTCTTCTATGACACTTTCTCTTCTTTCAGCAATGTTAAGCTTGGTTTAGCCACTGCAGTATACAGGTATAAGGAGAGAAGCAGACCAGAAACCTTTGGCTAAAGTAAAGATGATATGCATAACAAAAGCAGTAAGTTTACTATAATGTTCAAGATCTTCAAAATATCCCGTCTTTTTTAAATACATGTATTGCGAATGATTTTTGAAGCTCTGAGCACCTGTCAGATGTGTATACATGTTACAATTTTCCCTCTAATCTTTCAAGTGTATATTTTCCCCTCAGCATTCGTAATCTTCTTCCAGAGAACCACGGGGCCAGAAAAGTTGAAACTTATGT